TATGTAAATGATTTGAAGACAAGAGTTATGGACCATACAGTTTTGTTAACAAAACACAAAAATCTATGTAATTCTAACATTGTTATTATTTCATAATATATATACATATATATGTAATTATTATTTGACCTATATAAAGGATATGATTTGACACCAGGAAATGAAACATAATTCAGATTTCATGTTGCACAACCACAATCAATAGAGCACAAGGTTACATGGTAAGCATTGGACATCACAAGTGTACAGCGCTCCTCACAAGGACTCAATAACCACATTAACCAGATTTACAGTCGCATTCATTTCCTATGTGCTTTTACTTTTACTACGACGCCTGCTTGACCGTTTCATAATATTTAACGATGACAGTATTCCTCGACTGGCAGAAGACTCAACTGATTTTCTCTGTGACTTTGACAGCTCTTCTATATTATCTTTTATCAATTTCTTTTGATCTGAAAAAATATGAGGGGAAAAAAAACATTTTTATTCTAATCTTCGTATTTAAAGTTAGCTTGTGTTAAACCACGCCCTCTAGAGTCCTTGAATGGTGGTCAGTGAATTGACAAAAGACAAAATAAAATAAATAAATCTCTCATAAATCAGTTTACCGTAAAAATCCGCAAATAAGCGCCACCCTCAATTAAGAGCCACTCAGTGAAAATTTGTTACATTTGACCCTCCATTAAGAGCCACCAAGAGTTGAGTGGTTTTGTCAATAAGAAACCAGAAATAAGCGCCAGCCGCCCGGTTGTTTACAATCAGGCAGACACAAGCTTGTCGGGCCTCACTTCCACCCTGCATTGTTTATTGCCCCACAGAAGGTGTGAGACAAATAAAGATTATCCCCATAGCTTGCCTGATGTCCAGTATAATTGAGAACGGAAGAATGACAGATGGAAGAAATGCACTGAGAGCGCGAATGTGACTGTCAACTTGTCTATTTTAAATTTCTGACACACAATCGACCAATTCACAAACTATTTAGTAGTAACTATGTTTTTTGCCGAAACACCGAAGGACACGTTGAGATATTCATTGCCAATGTTGTCTTCATAACCAAGTAAAAAACGTCACGATTTTAGAACGCCTTTATCGGAAAATCGGAGGCATCGAAAATACTTTCTCACAGACGGACCGGAACAGGAAGTCAATAGAAAACAAAAGATTTTTTCCTTAGCGTGGGGGGAAACAGAGGTGTTAATCCGGTCCTGGCAACGTTTGAGGGATCGTAACTAAGCTCCTACTGTGAGAATGTAATGATTACACAGCCCACTCTCGCTGATCGTGATTTT